GTGTCACGTACCCCTCACCCACAAAGCGGCCCTGCTCCCACCCACCATCAAAAATGACGCCCCCCCACCGTTCCTTCTCAAGGCCCTTCATTGATGCGCCTAACGTGGCATCGTCGTCATCGTCGTCCCTGTCAGCTTCCGCTCCCACGTCGGTGGCCTGCCTCGACTGCGCCGCACGCGAGATTACAAAATTCGCCCCGTCCAAGAGGGAGCTGCAGGCATTTTGCCTCCCGTAGGAGAGAGAGAAAAGAGCCCCTGTGCCGTGAAACTTCCCTTCGTCAAACAAACCCACATAGCGATCACCGCCGGCCGTCACCAGGCAACCGAACCCAGACGGCAGATCGTTATCCCACTGGCCAAAGTAACGGTCGCCGTTGGCTCCAACAAATTCGCCCCATCCCTCTCGCACCGGTGTGTTCGTCTGCACCCAAGTCGAGAAGTTTGACAGGCGTGTCGTTGAAGCCCGAGAGGGGTGTGGCGCCGCCGCGTTATCCTGCCGCAACGCCAAGAAGCCACCGTACTTGCTGCCGTCTGGGTAGTCAATACGGGCAGGGCTTGTCAACTCTGGACGGTTCATCGTCCACTTGGACCGCAGCACATAGCGCTCCGTCGTCAACGTTCCGTCCCCGTCTCGTCGACGGTTGGCAAATCCCCCAACGTAGCGGTGTTTGCCTGACGACGACTGAAGTGTGCCGTGGCCGTGCGGAACCATTGCTCCCCGGTCCATCTTTACCTCTCCACAGTACTCATCACCATAGTCCATCGCAATACACACTTTTTCTGGCTTACCCTCAGAGGGGGAGTTGAAGGCCGTATTGGTGCCGCCCTCCTCTCGCGGCAGGAAGGCAGCACCACGGCAACCCTCTAACGGCAGCACTGCGGCGTTGGTGGTCGCCTGCAGCGGCGGCTGTGTCGTTGGCGCTGGTGCCACTCCCAGCGCAGTGGCTCCAAAACCCGTACAGCAGCTCCCGCAGACGTCGCCCGAGGGCATGAGCGGGTTTTCCTCGCCCACTGGGTCCCAGTCACTATCCGAGTCTCCCGTCCATCGTCTCATCGGTGAGGCGAGAGCCCAGGCTGTGTGTTGCGGCGCAAGAGTGGAGACGGCAAGCCGAGAAGATGAAGACAGCGGCAAGGAGACGCAGGCGCAGCAGGCACGGTGAAGAAGAAGGCATCAGCCACAGCACGAGGGGGGGGGAGAGAAAAAAAACAGCACCAAGCTAAGGGAAACAAAAATGTGCCGCACAGTAAACACCTGTTCAGACAAGTGCGGCCCACTACTTGTGTTGCCCAGCTTGCCCCGCAACGCCCTTTTCAGCTCCCCTCATTTCCGCGTCGTCGCCGTCCTTCTTCTTCTCCTCCCCCGTGTGCGCCTGCAGTTCCTCTTCCGCTTCAGCCTCCGCAAGTTCGTCCAGCAGCTGCTGACGGGCTCTGTAGTATTCTTTAACCTCCGCCGCATCGCACCACCGCTGGTCCGCGTCCTCGTGCTGGTACCAGTTGGGGACAAACAAAACGAGCGACGCGACGCACCCCACGCCCACGCCGTAGAAAAGCAGGCCGACTTGCCCCCGCAAATATCCGGCAATCAGAAAGAGGAAGAAACAGGCAGAAAAAATTCTTGTCACCTGTTTTGCCACCATTCTCTGGTCCCGAAGTGACATGGGAGCAAAAAGCCCCGCAATCCAGCGGGCTAGTGGATGGGCCCGCACCGCCTGCTCCTCCTTCTGCGGCTCCATCCGAGACTTGGGGGCCGAGGGCCGTCGGCAATCCTGCAGAAACCTCGGAGCCACGCCCCACGAGCAACAGCGACAAGAATAAAGAAGAAGAGGAAGACAGGTGACTCAGGCAGTGCCGCCCAGAGATATATGCATATGTTATAAAGAAAGCGGAAGGATGTGAAAAGGCAAGCCGAAACAAAAGAACAGAAATAAAATAAAAACCTCCTCGGCGTCAGCACGTCACTGCGAAGAGTACTTCCTGTAAGAGGCACTGTAGACGGCAATCCAGTGCACAAATGCGTTGACGGCGGCCTGATGAAGCGCGACGTCTGCAAGTATGGCGTCAGCCCGAGGGTTTCCCACGCCCTGTCCAAGAGCCGTCTCCGTGAATACGCTGTCACTTTTGCCCTCCTCCGTCAAGCGTTTTTTGCGCATCAACACCGCAGCAAAGGTCAGTGCCAGGTGCCGCACCGACACCCCGTTCACGCTCTGGTGAAGAAGCAGGCCCCCGCAGAGATCGACAATCCAAAAGATCACGCCACGCAAATGCGGAGGAACCATTCCCAAGTAAGTCATCGGCTCATGGGCGAACAATGAGGCTTCAAACATGGTCACTTCTAATTCAGCTAACCATATCAATATCAGGCCCATCAAAACATCGGGTTGGGCGCTCGTGAGAGCTGCGGGAAGCCGCGTCGCAGCGTTTGGGAAGCATGACATGCTGCTAACGGCGGCAACGGCCGTCGGCAACACACCACCGGGAAGATATCCCGCAGGCTGTGCGGAAGAGTACGGCAGCTCTCCGCTTCCCCAGCTATGTTGCGGTAACGAGGACCGATAAGTTGCCAGCACCTCGGCAAAGTCTAGATCCTCCTCCAATATTTCCTTCACACGTGTCGCCTCCCGCATGACTTCACGGTTTTGAGCGGCGAAATTCCCAGACTTCCCAACCAACAGGCGAGCTACGGTTTTGCTTGCAAGTCCCTGTTGACGAATAAACTGATGCTTTAGTAACTGCAAAATGAGGGGGCAGGTGTAAACGCCGACAGGTGAATCTTGTACTGTGATGGCGAGGCACTGGGGAAAGCCTGTACCAAATGGTTTCTGCTTTTGTGACACGACGGTAAACGTCACAAACACCTTCACATACGTGTCAACACTAAGCACAACGACCGCCTCAAACACCGACAGACAACGACGTGGAATTGGCTTCAAGGCCAGGTGAAACGTGGTGGCCTCGCCACGGCGAAGTGTGCGCTCCTCCAGACGTGCGCAGCCGAGGTAGTCGCCAGGAACCGCCTGACCATCAATAAACGTGTGCACCTCACTCACCCTAACGTCACAGCTAGAGCCACCTTCATTTTGCACTGAAACCTTTGCGTAAAACTCACGTTTGCCTTTACCTTGGCTCTCCGCATTGGCGTCGCCCACAAAGAGAAAGTGACAGTTGCTGACGGTGATGCACGGCGCCTTGCCTTGGTACTCCGCAAGGCCTCGGCGCAGTTGGGAGAGTAGCGGCAAATCCCCGGGCCTCATCTTGGGCACTACACCGCCGCCACGCGACTCCAATTCGGATAGCAGCAGCCGCAGAGCGTGTAACTGACACTGGTACAGCCAGTCGCAGTTGGCGCTCACGGACAGTTGGCGAATGTTGGAAAGAGCCTCCTCTGCGACATGCGCGCGGCCGGACAAATAGCCCTGGAGAAAGCCCCTCAAGTGCACTGGGTGGAATGGCTGAACCTTTTCCATGGCCCTCTTGATGTCCTTTGAGGCACTAGGGGGCGGCTGTGTGTTCACGTTGCTGCCTCGCGCTGAAGCGAGAAGAGACGACAGCTCATCTGGGGTGATGGGCATAAAGCCAACGGGAAACGGCGTCGTCACGTGCGTCGCGGCCCCGACGCTTACAGGCAACGTGGACGCCTCCTCCATCGCTCTTCCCTAAAAGAGGGGCTGGCACTCAGGTGGAGGTGACACAGGCACGTGGAAGCAACCAACGCCCCCGAGCAGCAAGCACGCAGGCACACACGCACGCACAGAAAGAAAAGAAAAAAAAGGGGGGGGTCCGGGAGACATCAGCGCAAGCAGCTCATTTTAAGTGGGGAAAGGGGGGAGCAAAACGCAAAACAGCAGAAACAAATGAATACAAACGTCGCCCGGCACTCCCTAATGACGGAAAATGAGGAAGAGGAGAAGAGTACTTGCGTGCCTTACCCCAACAGAGAAGCTCTCTGCCCCTTCCCTTTTCCGGTGTGGTCGATAAAGCTGTCCACTAAAGACAGAAATGGAGAAAGGCAGGGGGAGAGGAAGAGTGTGTGATTGTGCGCGTATATATTACTGGGGTCAGGGGGAGGATTCACGCAGCTGGCTTCATCATCCTGACGATCTCAGCACTAAGAAATGTCACGCACTCCGAGTACGTAATGAGTTGATTCCCAAAGGGATCGATAAGCTCCAGCAGGGCGTTGATTTCCTCGTCGGTTTTGGAGGCGTCTACTCCCCTTAAGACAGCGGCGAACTCCTGCGCACTGATAATGCCGTTACGGTCTGCATCGTGGCGACAGAAAATGGCATGAAAGCGGGCCAGAAAACGCTCGTGGCCCTCCAGTTGAAAGTCCAAGAGAATGCAAATGAGTTCCGCGTATGGCAACTGCACGTCATGGACGGATGCGATTTCGTGGCCCCGCTGAACCGAACTGCGGCGCCGTGGCTGCGACAGCTGACGCAGGTGGTCCCGCACGCGCATGATGATGGACACCGCATCTTCGGTGTTGTACATGTACCTCACAATGTCGACCCACTCATCCTCCAACAGTGCGCCGCTGGTTTTCTTCTGAACCAGCTTGTTAATCTCCGCATCACTTTTAGACGGTCGCTTGCCCTTTAAGTAGACGCGAAGCAACTCATGCACAGTCTCCCGCACTTGTCGCTGTACAAAACGAAACTCCTCGTCAATTTCATTGCGAATAATTTTTCCAAACACGGCCACGTCGTTATCCTCCAGATTGTACTTCTTAATCCCTTGAATGATGGCGGTGGCCCAGTCCAGGATGAGGTGCTTCAGGCCGTAGCGCTGGTTCAGGTACGTGTACATGTGCTGCTCCATTGTCTCCCGCGGGAGGTGACTCTCAGAGCACTTGATGTCATACTTGCTTTTTGATGCATAAATATCCTCAATTGTCTGCTTGAGCTGCTTCAGCGTGAGCACCTTGTTTCCAAGCTGCGGGGCCCGTGAATTTGGCGGCGATGCCCGCGAGCGATCCGCGGAGCCCGAGGTGCGCAGGAACGCCCCAGCGGAAGCCGCCTCCGGGCTAACTTCCGACGCCTTCACCAGTCGCAGCTTTGTTTGCAGACGCTCGTTCTCCGTCCGTAGTTGCCCCACCTCTTCCTGAAGTCGTTGCAGTTCCACCGCATTGGAGTCAGCGGCAACTCCGTTGCTGTTGTTGCTGTCGTTCGCCTGGCCGAGTTGACCCATAAGTGACTCAATTTCGTGAATGGCGTCCTGCATGTCTTTCTTCATGACGGCAATCCGTCCATGCATCTCCTCCGCGATACGACGCCAGAGACTGTCGTAGCGCTCCAGAAGACTTGCCTGTGCCCTGACGACGGCGGTGAGGGCCCGTCCCAGCACAACATCCTTCCCGCCCAAAGCACGGCATAACTCGTCAAGGCAATATTCGTAGAGGACCCGCTTCGCCTTGAGTGTCTCGCCCTCGCGGACGCAGGCGTCGCTCTCGCTTGCCGTCAGCGCACCGAGGTGCTGAACAACGTTCGCAACGTACGTATTGAACTCCTTTTGGGTAAACACGTTTCCGGTGGCATCCGTGACTAGTGCGTACAGGTTCTGTATGTTCTCGGTGTCCTCCATTTTCCACGGCTGGAACTGCGTAGGGAGGCATTGTTGTTGTCCTTGCTGTTGTTGATGTTGTGCTGCTGCTGCTGCTGCTGCTGCTGCTGCTGGTGTGCATGCGGCAGTGGTTCTTCCGGCACCGACGTGTCGGCCGCGTCGTATATGCGGGGCGCCGGCGAGGTATCCCCGTCGTCGCTCCTCTCGCCCTCCGCCGCGCTGGCTGTGTCCTCGAAGGCCTCCGTCAGGGAGGTGCCGTTGAAGCTCTCCAGCGACTGCAGGGCGACGATAACCTCGTCCTCCTCGCTCTCAAGCGGCAAGTCGACGTACAGGTGCCTCAAGATGACGAGGTCGTACAGTCCGCGCATGACGGTGCCCACCCCCGCGACGGGGTTGGCGGACACGT